AAAAAAAGTATAGCAATTTCCACCTGTTCACTCCAAAAAAAAAAAAACAAAAGCAAAAAAAAAATTCCAAGCTCAGTTTCTTGAAGGATATTTTGTTGAACTCTATCACAAAAAAAAAAAATTCTTTATGCAAGACATTTACATGAAAACCCTGGGGAATTCTAATGATAAAAAAAAATTTTTTTTTTTTTTTAAGCTGAAATTTTGAGGTACAAAATAAATATTTAAAAAAAAACCAGCTGTCAATAATAGCAATGTGCTTTCCAGGGAAACCTGAACAATGAAAAAAAAATTTATAATTGCTTTAACAAAACATCTAATTAAAAGGACACTCCATGAGAAAAAAAAATATTTCTCTGAGTTACAGTTATCTTCACACTCCTTAAGCCAAGTTGGGAAGGCAAGAGGAACTACAGAAGTCACAGGAGGCAGGGGTTTCCTTTAACAATCTGCAAATAGCACTGTTTCTGTTTAGCTGACTCTCAGGGCTCAGAGTTATGGAGTAATGAGTAGATCATTCTCTTGGGGATCACCACCAGGCTCTGACGCAGGGGGGGTAAGTTATACAAAAAAAAAAATCCAGAGAGGCCTAATGATGCAGTTACCTTCCAACACAGATATCTTCAAAAAAAAAAAAGAAATCCTCCCATTTTATGTGGTTTAAAATGATTGCTTTTTCTCCTTATCCTTAATTTTTGGGAGATCAAAGCAATTCTATATGGAAATTTATGATTACTGAAAAAAAAAACTCAAAATTTAGAACCCAAAGCTTTAGGACTCAAAATTTAGAACTCAAAAAAAAAAAATATCACCCAAGAAACTTTTGGTGCAAGTCATTTGTATCTTATTTTATAAAAAAAAAATTTACACAAATACATTAAAATGAGATGAGCATTTAAGTAAATCTTTTAAAAAAAAAAGCAAACTATCAGGCTCAATTTTCTTTTGTAGCTACTAGTGACCACTAAAAAAAAAATTCATTCCTTCAAATATTAATTTCTATCAAGGGTTACACTTTTTAATAAAAAAAAAAGCAATCAAAAGAATAAAACCAGAAGGAAAGAAAGGAAACCAAAATCACAAAAAAAAAGTGTCACAGTTGAAAGTGATCATGGATCAATAAATTGAGAAGGCCTTTGGAACTAACAGTTTGTTACAGCAAGTGAAACACATTTCCCACACATTTACATAGTTAAAAAAAAAAAAATGGCTTTTAGTTTTCATTATGTCTACATGTGAACAATCTCAAATGAAAAAAAAACTGTCCTACACATACTTCCCTACAATCCTAGCTGACAGAACCCCCTTTAAAAAAAAATTCTAGTTCAAGTTCTATGTGTTTTCATGAAATCTTTTCTAATCAGTGAAAAAAAAATCTGTCTGGGTCTCAATAGAGCTGTTCTTGATGTTTTCATGTTTGTACAAAAAAAAATTCAGCACACTGTAGATTCTTAAACTATATTTCGTAATAACTACATCCAAAAAAAAAGAAAGAGAAGGAATGCTGCATGTAGAAAAGTTCAAACAAATCCAATTAAAAAAAAAAATTAAGACTCTCATGAGCATGCCATAGAGACTCTTGATTGAAATAGATAAAAAAAAAGGATTATAGTTAGACTGCATTGATATGAAAAACATGGAGTTAAATGAAAAAAAAAAATCTTCCAATAAGTGGTGATTTTATATTTTGGTTCTATTTAAGTTGTGAAAAAAAAAAAGTCAGGAAAAAGAGCACATAAGTCAAGTAGAGAGTCCGTTTCATTCTAAAAAAAAAGTAAGACCTTTAGCACCTCTGCTTCATTAATTTTCTCTCCTTCCAGTAAAAAAAAAACCCCTTAGGTTTGGGTAAATGATATGATCTCACTTCTTAGAATCGTTTAAAAAAAAAGAATCACTGTGTTTATGGTCATCAGGTCATTTCTATGGGATTAGTGGAAAAAAAAAATTGATCCCCTACACTGGACCTCAATGCACAACACCTGGTTTTTTTTGTAAAAAAAAATGTTTGTTTGTTTTGAGGTGGAGTCTTGCTGGCTCTGTCTCCCAGGCCAAAAAAAAATGCACAATCTCGGCTCACTGCTACCTCTGCCTCCCAGGTTGAAGCAATAAAAAAAAATCAGCCTCCTGAGTAGCAGGGATTACAGGTGTGCACCTCCACACCCAGCTAATTTTTGTATTGTTAGTAGAGACAGGGTTTCACTATGTTGGCCAGGCTGGTCTCAAAAAAAAAACCTCAAGTGATCTGCCTGTCTTGGCCTCAAAACCTAGTTTTGAGCTCCACAGTTGCTAGCTGACTACTTGATTAAGTTAGTTAAATTTTCATAGCTTAAGTTACAAAAAAAAAATGTAAGGCTAATAATGTATACTTCATAAGGGTAGATGAAAGGATGAAAAAAAAAAATATAAAATTTAAAAAGTAATTACCAGGTAAATAAGTTAGAATAGAAAAAAAAAAAAATTTACATAGTTTATTGTGGCCACCCTTTTATTTTTTACATAAGACAAAAAAAAAAAACATGACTTTGAGATATATATGGCAAGAAGGATGCCAATCACCAATTAGAAAAAAAAAAGGATGACTGTTCTTGCTTTTTCTTCTACCTGGAGGGCTCTAGTCTGACCTATTCACATGGCTTCCCCTTCACTTCCTTAAAGTCTGGGTTCATATTTTATCTAAAAAAAAAAATTTTCTCAGCTCCTTATATAAATCAGTACTTTCTAATCCTTGCTATCCAAAAAAAAATGCTGCTTTTTCTTCAAAGCACCTATCACTATCTACCTCCATCTGAATAAAACTTATACTCCTTGGGTGTAGGGACTTTATTTATTGTTTAATCTCTAGTACCTAAAAAAAAAACTGGCATATATAGGTCTTTAATAAGAGATGTATGCTGAATAAATACATAAAAAAAAATTTTCTAAGCTATCAGCAATGGGTATGAACTCTGTGAAATGTGACTTTAAAAAAAAACACAACTTTTCAATTATATAACCTAAGACAAGTTAAATAGTATCTCTAAGCCCCAAGTTACTTTTTTGTAAACTCCTATATTACCTCTGGGGTTGTCTTAAAGTCAAAAAAAAAGTTTGCCTACTTAGAATACATTTTTTGTGTGTGCATGCTTCAGCCAGAGTAATCTCTACAAAATGCAATTCTAATTAAGTCACTATTTTTTAAATCAACCTTTGATGACTTGCCTAAAACAAAGTTATTGCCTTAATGACATTTAGACAATGTTTAACATTCAAAAAAAAATCTTGTCATATTTAGAACCCGCTTATCTTACAAACTTCATCATATGCCATCTCTGTGTTTCATTCTTGATGGCCTTTTTCAGTCCCCAAACAGCATCATTGTCTTGACTTCAAAAACTACATTTACCTTACTCTCTATTCCTTCCTCTCAACTGCCAATGTAAAAAAAAAATACCTAATTCTTATTCATCCTTCAGTTCTCAATATAAATGCAAGTCTGAAAAAAAAACTGCCGGTCCATCCATCCATCCATCCATCCATCCATCCATCCATCCATAAAAAAAAAGTTGAACTACAGTTTGCAAGTACCCAATCAGGTTTTAACTATAACAATAAAAAAAAACTATACTTCACCTAAACTGTCTATCTATCTTTGCTATACTCCAAGCTCAAAAAAAAAAGAACCAAGTGTTTCTTATTTATTATTTATCAAAGCTCAGCACAGTGCAAAAAAAAAAGTAAGATTTCTATAAATATTCATTGAATTAATATATAGTCACATGGCAAAAAAAAATATTATTATGGAAATATCAACTATTGATTGTTTAATGCTACCATAATTAAAAAAAAAAATCAAATCTGTGGCTATAGAAAAATCATGAATGATGGTGAGGAATTCAAAAAAAAAAAGAGAAAGATGAAGGAGAAAGAGAATGAGATGGAGGAGTTCAGGAAAAAAAAAAAAAGACATGAGAAAGAGTAATAAAAGAACTAGGAAAAGAATGAAAGTGAGAAAAAAAAAGAAAGAGAGATTAAAAATGTAAGGGAAAATAAGGTAATATAGAGTTTTAAAAAAAAATTTTTACTGGAATAATTTCAGATGTATCAGTTAAGGAATAAGATAATTAAAAAAAAAGCTATAATAGGCAATTATCTTGTACTGTCACATTTTCAATACATGAGTTTATCTTTATATCTACCTTTAATTGACACTAGTTTTGATTATCTAGCTTTAGGAATAAAAAAAAAATCTCACTTCTTTCCAAGGACCTCTCATTTTTATGAATTCTTACTTTTTAAAAAAAAAACTCTAATTCAATATATTTCTGTTTTATTATTTAATGTTTTATTCTGTCACTTCATTACCCTTTCCTCTTAAATTTTATTTTAAAAATTTAGTCATGATGTTTTTAAAAAAAAAGCAATTTCTCGTTTGCTGATTTTCAGGAGTTTGCTTATATTTAATTTAAAAAAAAAATAATCTTATATGAATCCTAATATCCTACTGATGAATGTTTCAGGACAACTATCAGCTAAGCAAATAAATTAGGTTGTTTTTTATATCAAGAAAAGGTAATGATAAAAAAAAAAACAAGTAAAAAAATACATATAGATGTTTTTCAAAAGCCTCATAAAAAGGAAAAAAAAACTATATTATATAGTTATAGTTCATGATTACTATGATACATTACACTAAAAAAAAAAAACGAAATGGTTAAGGCCGATTATTCAAAATAAAATAAGAAGAAAATACAAAAAAAAAGATGATCTTGAAAACAAATAACTTGTTATGAGGACCATGATTATTGCATAATCAATGCTACATCATTCATGGGCTAGCATTATTTACGTGGCATTGTTGAAGACTAAAAAAAAACTAATGTTTCCCTGTTGTGTTTAGAATATGAACATGTAATAAGAATGAAAAAAAAAAAAATTAGAGTTCATTCCTTTTTTAAGACACTTTTTGAAGCTGAGGTAACAAGAAGATAATCAGAGTGATAGTAACTGGGAAAAAGTCTTACCATCCAGATCATTCAAAAAAAAATCCGCAGTATACCAGTTGGAAGGTGGTCCAGTGCCATTGACTGTCATTAAAAAAAAATGGAAACTGTACTGACTTCCTTTCTCCAGTCCTATGAAAGAATTTTCCAAAAAAAAAAAGAAAGTTACTATGCACCAAGTATTCCTACGTGGGTTTCAAAAAGCTAAAAAAAAATTGTAACAATAGTGGACATGCTTTACATTGTTTGTGACTATTGTGGTAATGATTATTTTGACTAAAAGGGTAGAAATATCATAGCAAGAAATAAAATTAATTTTTAAAAAAAAAATGAGTTTTTTCCATTTTATAAAAATATGTCCATGTAAATAGCCTAGGAAAAAAAAAAGAATATAAAGTAGAAATGATGAAGAAATAATCAAAAATTGCATGGATAAAAAAAAATTACTCTTTGGAAGAGCCATGTCTATAAATCAAGAACAGTCAATCTAAAAATTTATGTCTCCATCATTCATTCATGGTCTGTGATTATGTTTTCTTTAGGCCTAAAAAAAAAAATCCAAAGCCAATGCACTTCAGAAGAAAATATTAGGGCCTTGGTCTCTTAAAAAAAAATTTCAAGAATATTTTGTTTTGGATTAGCTTCCATACAAGAGATATAGAAAATCAATCTCTATGATAATTTTGGCATAATATTGTGCACAATGATCACATTAGGGTAAAAAAAAAAAAGCACAGAGAACACAGGTAAACTAGAGAGGCCACACGGATCATTCATCTGATATATGAAAATTTTTGATGTAAGTGACTTTCCTCTTACCAAAAGCTCAAAGTAAAAAAAAAACATGATAAATTATTGTAAAACAAATGATATTTGTGAAAAAACCATGTGATATTCTTGAGACTCAGACTAAATGATCAAGTCCTTAAACCTCAAGGAATTAAACAAAAAAAAAAAAGATAAAAATGTAACCATTATCCCCCATTCATCTGAAATAGTGCAAAAAAAAAAAACCAAGAAAAAAATGCATAATAAAAGAAATTATGCTCTTGTACAAAATTACATATTTGAAAATTTTTTGCATAGGAAGATGAGTACTTAGTGGTAAGGGGAATTCAAAAAAAAAATTAATAGGAGATGATATTTTAAATGATGGTTAGAAAGGATTAGTTATTAAAAAAAAAGAACAGTTGCCTTTAATAAATAGTACTATTAGACCATTTGATAAATTCACCCACATAATGATATTTATAACACAAATTTCTGTCCTCTAAAGAAGTTTCTAATTTTATAAAATAGTTTGGAAGCTCCATGAAGACATATATTGAGACTGTCATTGAATGTGTTCTTGTTTTGTTATTAATATTATTCAGGTTTTAATTGTATATTCATAGGGTCCACAATAGTACCTGAAGCAGGGAAGATGCACACACAAAACAACACTTGAAAAAATCTACTAAAAAAAAAAAGGTACAAAAACACTCACATAGAGAAAATATTAGGTTAATACACAGCATTTCAACCACATCAACAAGCTGGCAAAGAGATGCTTCAAACATAAGGCCTTTGTCATTAAAAAAAAAGGTTCATGCTCGCTTTGATTTGTTAACATGGTATTGATCTAATTTTGTTCATTTTTTTCATCATTTCATAGGCACTGTTGTTGATTACTGAGGCAGTGGGATTACAGAGATTTTCCGGGAAATTAAAAAATTAATAGGGAGAGAACCTTGAGAAGAAATGGTTACCTACTCATAACAGCTTATGACTTTCATAATGCTCTTGTTTAAAATAAAGTTCTAAAAAAAAAAAAATGTACTCATGCTATGTAGAAGTTTAACTTCACTTTTATTTAAAATGAATAAGCAATCATGTCAATACTGTCTCAAGTGATTGATTTGAAATACGCTTTGTGATGGTCAGTTATATGTATCAACTTAGCTAGGCTACAGCACCCAGTTATTCAATCCAACAAAAAAAAAGGTATTGCTGTGAAGGTATTTTATAGATGGGACTAAAGTCCATATTCCAAAAAAAAAAAGTAAGAGATATTGCCATAGTCTATTTGGATGGCCCAGATTCGATCAAAAAAAAAACCTTAAGTGCAGAACTGAGGCTGCCCTGAGGCAGAAATTCTGCCCTGCCATGGCTGTGGACTTAGCTTGAGAGCTCCAGCTTGCCCCTTAATGGCCTGCCCAGTGAAAAAAAAAATTGCCTGGCCAGCCATCATAACCACTTAAACCAATTCCTTGCAATACAAAAAAAAATATGTATTTCCTGCTGGCTCTTTCTTTCTCTGGTAGAAACCTGACTGAAAAAAAAAATTTAAGTAAAACAAAGTCTGCTAACAACTTGAAGTTATCATTAGAAAGCAGTTTAGATTTTTGTTGGTTTAAAGTTTGTTTATCAGAGACAAGGATTGCAACCCCTGCTTCTTTCTTTCTTCCTTCCTTCTTTTCTTCCTTCCTTCCTTCCTTTTTTCTTTCTTTCTTTCCATTTTCTTGGTAAATATTCCTCCATCCGTTTATTTTGAGTCTGTGTGTAAAAAAAAAAGTGAGATGGGTCTCCTGAATACAGCAAACTGATGGGTCTTGACTCTTAAAAAAAAATGCCAGTCTGTGTCTTTTAACTGGGGCATTTAACCTGTTTACATTAAGAAAAAAAAAGTTATGTGTGAATTTGATCCTGTCATTATGATTACACAATGCTGGTGATTATTTTGCCCATTAGTTGATGCTGTTTCTTCATGATGCCGATGGTCTTTACAATTTGGTATGTTTTTGCAGTGGCTGGTACCAGTTTTTCCTTTCCATTTTTAGTGCTTCCTTAAAAAAAAATTGTAAGACAGGCCCAGTGGTGACAAAACCTCTCAGCATTTGCTTTCTAAAAAAAAATTTATTTCTCCTTTGCTTATAAACTTAGTTTGGCTGGATATGAAATTCAAAAAAAAAAATTCTTTTCCTTAAGAACGTTGAATATTGGCCCCCACTATTTTCTGGAAAAAAAAATTTCTGCAGAGAGATCTGCTGTTAGTCTGGTGGGCTTCCCTTTGTGGAAAAAAAAAACATTCTCTCTGGCTGCCCTTAACATTTTTTCTTTAATTTCAATCTTGGTGAATCTGACCATGATGTATCTTGGGGTTGCTCTCCTCAAAGATCAAAAACAAAACAAAAAAAAAAAGGGGATTACATAATGGTAAAGGGATCAACGAAACAAGAAGAGCTAACAAAAAAAAATGTATATGTACCCAATACAGGAGCACCCAGATTCATAAAGCAAGTTCTTAGAGACCTACAGAGAGAATTCAACTCCCACTCAATAATAGTGGTAGACTTTAACACAAAAAAAAAAATATTAGACAGATCAATGAGCCAGAAAATTAACAAGGATACTCAGGAAAAAAAAAACGCTCTGGATCAAGAGGACCTAATAGACATCTACAGAACTCTCCCACCAAAAAAAAAAAAAATATACATTATTCTCAGCACCACATCACGCTTATTCTAAAATTGAAAAAAAAATTGGAGGTAAAATACTCCTCAGCAAATGCAAAGGAATGAAAATCATAAAAAAAAAAACTTAAACCACAGTGCAATCAAATTACAACTCAGGATTGGAAATTCATTCAAAACCACACAACTACATGGAAACTGAACAACCTGCTCCTGAATGACTACTGGATAAAAAAAAAAAGGCATAAATAAATAAGTTCTTTGAAATCAATGAGAACAAAGACACAACATACTACAATCTCTGGGACACAGCTAAAACAGTGTTTAGAGGGAAATTTATAGCACTAAATGCCCACAGGAGAAAGGAGGAAAGATCTAAAATCAACACCCTGATATCACAATGAAAAGAACTAGAGAAACAAGAGCAAACAAATTCAAAAGCTAGCAGAAGACAAGAAAAAAAAAAAATCAGAGCACAACTGAAAGAAACGGAGACATGAAAAACCCTTCAAAAAAAAAAAAAAACCAGGGGGTGGTTTTTTGAAAAGATTTAACAAAATAGACCACTAGCCAAAAAAAAAAAGAAGGAAAAAGAGAAGAATCAAGTAGACAATAAAAAAATGATACAGGAAAAAAAAACACTGATCCCATAGAAATACAAACTACCATCAGATAATACTATAAACAAAAAAAAAAAAATAAACTAGAAAACCTAGAAGAAATGGATAAATTTCTGGACATACAAAAAAAAAACACGCTGCAAGACTAAACCTGGAAGAAGTCAAATCCCTGAATAGACCAAAAAAAAAATCTGAAATTGAGTCATTAATAGCCTACAAACTAAGAAATGCCCAGGACAAAAAAAAATTATCGCCAAATTCTACCACAGGTAAAATGATGAGCTGGCACCATTCCTTCTGAAACTATTCCAAACAACAGAAAAAAAGGGATTCCTTCGTAACTCATTTTATGAAAAAAAAATCATCCTTATACCAAAACCTGGCAAAGACACAACAAAAAAAAAGTAAGAAAAAAAAAAATATCACATTGATGATGAACATCAATGTGAAAATCCTCAATAAAATAAAAAAAAAACGAATCCAGCAGCATATCAAAAAGCTTATCCACCATGATCAAGTTGGCAAAAAAAAAGGGATGCAAGGCTGGCTCAATATATGCAAATCAATAAACGTAATCCATAAAAAAAAAAGAACCAGTAACAAAAACCACATGATTATCTCAGTAGATGCAGAAAAGAAAAAAAAAAAAATCCAACACCCCTTCATGCTAAAAACTCTCAATAAACTAGGTATTAAAAAAAAATATCTCAAGATAATAAGAGCTATTTATGACAGATGTACAGCTAATATAAAAAAAAAACAAAAGCTGGAAGCATTCCCTTTGAAAGCCAGCACAAGACAAGGATGCAAAAAAAAACCACCCCTATTCCACATAGTACTGGAAATTCTGGCCAGGGCAATCAGGAAAAAAAAAGAAATAAAGAGTATTCAAATAGGAAGAGAGGAAGTCAAACAGTCTCTGAAAAAAAAAGACATAATTGTATATTTAGAAAACCCCATTGTCTCAGCCCAAAATTTCAAAAAAAAATTGAGCAATTGCAGCAGTCTCAGGATACAAAATCAATGTGCAAAAATCACAATCATTCCTATACACCAATAA